TCCAGGAGAACCATGGGATAAAAAGAACTTTATCCACCGAAGCTGTGGGAAGCAGGCACCATGGATCGGAAAGAGATTTTTTAAGAGTTGTGTTTGTGCTGGATTTCCTTCAGTGCCCTCTGGGGAAAACTCTCTGGGATGAAAATTAGTACTTGAGTCTGACAGGATAGTGGGAAGATCTTTGTTCAACCTGATAGATTGTGTTGAACTATCTGGGGGCTTTAGGGAAATCTAGCTGGAAGGGAGCCCCAATCAGGTGTGATTCAAGAAAAGATGATAAAGGACTTCCCTGGTGGTCCAGTGGTTAAAACTCTGTGCTTCCAGTGTGGGAACATGGTTTCAATCCCTGGTTGGGGAACTAAGATCTCATTATGCCGTGTGGTTCAGCCAAAAAAAAAAAAGATAATAAAACATAGGGGTAGGGGGATTTTTTTTTTTTTCTTTCTCTTTTTATTTCTCACTGACTGCATAAGTGAAGTGAAAGCTTTTGGTCTTCTGGTTGATGGGGAAATGAGGAAGGGTTGAAAGTGATGCTATATCACTTAGCCTGATTTCCCAGAAATGCTGGAGAAAATCAAAGGCAGTGGTACCCAAAGGCAGCTCTCCACCAGACTGTCCAGCATGGAAACTCCTGGCGGAGGAGGCAGGTGGTCCAAAGACGGAGGGTGGCTGAGCTCTCCAATCACATTCACTCTTTTCATGACTGCCATGGCGTCTTGCATTCACACCAGCCCTGGTTGCTGTGTTGGTCAGAACGGTCCAAGCCTTCCGCGGTCCTGCAGGGCTGGACAAACACTCTCAGGGCTCTGACCGAGCCTGCCAGCTGCTCCACGGGCTGCTTGCCTGCTCCTCAGGCCCTGATTGATGAGAGGAGGTGGTTGGAGGTGGGCGGGGGAGAGGGAAGTGGCAGGGAGGGCATCAGGTGCTCCAAATTGGGGATAATTCAGCATATTAGCCTAATGAAGTCAAAAAGTTAATTTGTAGCTGCCAGCTGTTGAAAAGCAGGTTTATAAAGCTCCACAGCCCCGCCCAGCCCAGTGGGGGGAACGCTGAGGGAGAGCGAGACCGCAGAGGACTTTGAATAAACACAATCATCGACATTCAGCCGAGAAGAGCTTGGCAGTGGCCAGGTGGCTCCATGGAAGAGGAGATAATGGAAATAAGGACTGTAGGTGGCCAGAGCTCCAGTGGGGAGAAAAAGGAATACTTCTTTGCCCTGGCACTGGATCTAATCCCTGGCTTACAGCACGCTCCTGGCAGTCGGTGCCAGGCTCACAGGCCCTGTTACTACACGGATAACATAGTCAGTGTCAGTGCTTGGTTTCTAGCTTCCCTTGGCAATTTGCATTCAGCTCTCTCACCCTCCTTCTATTTTTTTTTCCTTTAATCCACCAACTCAGTGCTTTTTAAAGCTGGCTCATTCCCTGCACTGACTCAGGAAATGTATGTTCTAAGACAAAAGTGAACTTGCAGGTGACTTGTAGGAAAGAGAGCGGGTGCTCTCCTAGCTCCTTGTTACATCCAGGCCGCTACTGCTCTTTGACTGACCGTCCCCTGGCCCCCAGGGAAATGGTACTGGACGTCTGGAAGGACTTGAACATAAAGCAATTATTCACCTTATTTGTGACCCTAGAGAAAATATAAGTGCTCCAGGAAGGCAGTAAATGCAATATATATCCCAAAGTATAGAGGGGAAAAAATTAAAATGAAAGAAAGCCTGCTTCATCTATCAAGATGCATTTTAAGCAACTTCCCTGGTGGTCCAATGGTTAAGAATCCACCTGCCAATGAAGGGGACACAGGTTGATCCCTGCTCCTGGAAGATTCCACATGCCACAGAGTGACTAAGCCCATGTACCACAAGTACTGAAGCTCACATGCCCTAGAGCCTGTGCTCTGCAACAAGAGAAGCCACTGCAATGGAAACTTGGGGCACTGCCCCTGGAGAGGGGCCCGCACTCACCCCAACTAGAGAAAGCCCTCGTGCATGAATGAAGACCCAGTGCTGCCAAAAATAAATTTAAAAATTTAAATGTGTTTTAAGTCTCAACCCCTCCACAGCATTTAGTAAATATCCACAAGCTAGCACATCTTCTGTTGTATTGTACTCATGTATCTATGCATGTTTCTTTCTCCCATGTTACCATCTCCTCCAGGGAGTTCCAAGAGCTTGGGATTTTTTAAAAATATGGGTCTGAATAAATATCTACTGGATGCTTTAAAAGAGTCTTTGTATGACAGTGTCTAGGTCCATCCACATTCCTGTAAATGGCACAATTTCATTCCTTTTTATGTCTGATATTGCATTGAGTATATTGATATGTATCATGTAGAATGAAGGAAGTCAGAAAAAGAAGTATCATATATGAATGCATATATGTGGAATCTAGAAAAATGGTGCAGAGGAACCTACTTGCAAAGCAGAAATAGAGACACAGATGTAGAGAACAAGCGCATGGACTCCAAGGAGGGGTAGTGGGGGTTGGGATGAATTGAGAGGTTGGGGATGACATATATACATTCAGTTCAGTTCAGCTCAGTCACGTCCGACTCTTTGCGACCCCATGAACCGCAGCACGCCAGGCCTCCCTGTCCATCACCAACTCCCGGAGTCCACCCAAACCCATGTCCATCGATTCGGTGACTAATGAGAGCCTATTGTATAGCACAGGGAGTTCTAGTCACTGCTCTATGGTGACCTAAATGGAAAGGAAATCCAAAAAGAGGGGATCCATATATACATAGAGCTGATTCACTTTGCTCTATAGCAGAAACTAACATAACACTGTAAAGCGACTACACTCCAATAATTATTTTTTAATTGAAAATCTCTTTAGATGTCTGCGTGTGTGTATATATAAGCCATCCCAATCAACCCTAGTCCTTATTTTTACTACCTTTGGATATGGAAAGTGGCTCACAGCATGTGTGTGAACACTTAATCATCCACAAAAGTTTTTTAATTGCCTTGTATCCCCCTTTGCCCTGAATACTGCTCCTTAAGAGAGTTGCAGCTCATTTGAACGAGTATTTAACTGGCCTGCTGTCTCTGGACTGAGTGTGGGTCTTAACCTTAGAGAAGAGAAATGCTTTTATTAGATCAGGGACTGGTCCTATGCAAAAAGATTATCCCCTCGCTTGTTGGAAAGTTATATAATGTTGTGGTTGTGAAATTGGGTCTTAATATCTGGCTGGTGCTTAAGTCTGTAATCGCCCACTCAGTGCAGTGATTTAGAAACTTGGTAAACCTAACTGTTGAGGCTTTGTCCCTGGGGTGAGAGGCTGCGCCATGCACTGCTTGTAAAGACAACTGAGAGTTTCATAGCACTTAGATCTGGCCAGGGATTTGGTCTGTTTCAATTCATTAAGTTCTCACCACAAACCCAACAGTGCAGATTTTCTCCCATGAACAGTGAGAATGATCATCATTTTACAAATAAGAAAAAAGAGGTTCAGAAAGATTGAGTAAATTACCCATGTTTGCAGAGCCTGTGAAACTATTGTTTGAGCCAGAACTATGTAAGCTCTAGAAAGTGTTAGTCACTCAGTCGTTTCCGACTTTTTGCAACCCCATGAACTGTAGCCCACTAGGCTTCTCTGTCCGTGGAATTCTCCAGGGAAGAATACTGGAGTGGGTAGCCATTCCCTCCTCCAGGGGATCTTCTTGTCCCAGGGATCAAACCCGTGTCTCCTGCATTGCAGGCAGATTCTTTACTGTCTGTGCCACCAGGGAAGCCCATGTAGACTCTAAAACCTCCTTATATCCGTGTTTTCTAATCTAAGATGCAGAATTCCTATTCCCTCAGGTCAGTGAGATCTTCAATAAAATCCATTAAGTTGGGGTTTAGTTAGCAGATACTTTATCACTGAACCACCAGGGAAGCCCCTAGTTATAGTGATCATCTATGTGATGAAACATAGCACTTTCTATCATCATGTTGACCATCTTCTAACCAAACGTTGCCATGTAACCTAAGTCGCTCAGTCGTGTCCGACTCTTTGCGACCCCATGGACTGTAGCCCACCAGGATCCTCAGTCCATGGGATTTTCCAGGCAAGAATACTGGAGTGGGTTGCCATTTCCTTCTCCAGGGGATCTTCCCGACCCAGGGATCGAACCCGGGTCTCCACATTGTAGGCAGACGCTTTACCATCTGAGTTACCAGGGAAGCCCTATTCCTGCCAAGTGATAACCAAATAGTGTCAGGGAACACCTTACAAATCAGTGTTTTACTTTGATTTAAATAAGAAAATGAGTAACAAATGCAGCCATCTCAAGCCTTACAAAATCACACACCCGAAGCTGTACCAAAGCTGTCCAGACCACAGGCAAATGGTCAGCAAACATCGTGCAAACATGCCCATCTGTGTGTACCAGCACAGTAACGGTAAGGTAGTAGTAAAAATGAAATGGTGGCTATTTCTGTGTCTAATCCTTGCAAAAATTGATTCTTTGAAAATAGATTTCAATAATGCAGCAATGCTAAGATTACCGGGATCTATAATTGAATAAGACAACTCTACAGAATGAAATTCCATTAAAATTTGCAATCATGAATTGATTGGTGGCAGTTTTGATTAAGTATGTGGTCTGATTAACTTGAGCTAGCCAACAATGCCTTAAAGGTATTAATACTCATTTGTAAGATACAATTACAAATGAACACTTTTGTATTATTGAAGTAAAAACACTGAGAGAAATTAAATTTAGGCTCCAACTTGAGGCTATATCATTCAATCATTAAACCAAATGTTAGCAATTTAGTTTCATCAAAACAGCACCACGAATCATATTAAATTAATGTTATTAATTTGAATATTATTGATTTTACAGTGTTGTTTCTATATTTAATTTATTAACTTTCTTTGGTTTTACATGAAAATCATAAACATAAGAAACCTATTAAGTTATACATTAGTATATATTAAGTCACATTTTAACAAAATCACTAAAGTTAGTACTCAGGATTTACAATAATTGTATTTTTACTTTAAAATAGGTTGATAATACTCAAGTTTGAGAGAGATTGTACTTCTTCATTTTGGAAAAAAAAAAAGCACTGGAATCTCAACTTGAAAATGAAGCAAACTGAAGAATGTTATGGGTAAACTTTTATTTTATACACCAGTGTATATTATAATATGGGGCTTCCCAGGTGGCACTATTGTGAAAGAACCTGCCTGCCAATGCAGGATACATAAGAGACATGGGTTCAGGCCCTAGGTCGGGAAGATTCCCCTGGAGGAGGGCATGGCAACCCACTCCAGTATTCTTGCCTGGAGAATCCCTGGACAGAAGAGCCTGGCAGGCTGCACTCCATAAGGTCACAAACAGTCGGACACAATTGAAGCAACTTAGCATGCACATGTTTAATATATATATATATTAATACCCTGGTATCACATATTTTAAGTATAATATATATTAAAACCCTGATAATATATATTATATATATGTGAGTATAATATATATATATATATTAATCCCCTGCTTAGAGAAGTCACATTTTTATTTATATTTTTTAAATAGATTCAGTAGTAAAGATAAAATTTACTTTATCTTACTTTACTTTATCATGCCATTCTCTTTCTGTAAAAAATGATATAATATGTGTTATACACACACATGGGCTTCCCTGGTGGCTCAGGAGATAAAGAATCTGCCTGCAATGCAGGAGACCCACTCAAGTGGCCTTCCTGGGTAGCTCAGCTGGCAAGGAATTCACCTGCAATGCAGGAAATCCCGGTTCAATTCCTGGGCTGGGAAGTTCCCCTAGAGAAGGGATAGGCTACCCACTCCAGTATTCTTGGGCTTCCCTGGTGGCCCAGATGATAAAGAATTTGTCTGCAATGCGGGAGACTTGGGTTCGATCCCTGGACCAGGAAGATCCCCTGGAGGAGGGCATGGCAACCCACTCTAGTATTCCTGCCTGGAGAATCCCAAGGACAGAGGAGCCTGGAGGGCTCCAGTCCATAGGATTGCAAACAGAGAGACACAACTGAGCAACATTAACACAGACACACACACACACACACACACAGATACAAATGCATAATGATATACACCTAAGGGTGATCATCAAAATGCTGATGGTGGTACCTAAGGTGGTAAGATTTTAATATCTCTTATTTTTCTTTTCATATTATATGCGCTGTTCATTTATTTTTCAAGAAGCACACTGGTTACTGGAGAGAAGGGAGCCAGTTTCATTTTGGAAAAATTAAGCCAAACAGTGAAACAAAAAATAATACCTGTGTTATGTTCATGATTTTAAGATTGTATTTGCCTATCAATAACAGTTGGAAAGGAACCTTGGATACTGAAATCACTATGGAAAGTTTGAGGAGGTGAGAATTGTATTTGATTTTGATACATGCAGATTTCTCTTAATTTTTCTGTGCAATTATCAAAACAAACACTTTTATCAAGGGCTATCAGAGAAAGAATGGAAGAAGTAAGTGGGGGGTGAAGGGAGGGAGAAATGAATGATGGAAAAATGAAGCAGAAATTGGATTCCAGACCAGGTTCACCAACTGTTAAGTCCAAAATGCTTTTCACAAATAACAAGTATTCATTCAATAAGCATGAGCTGAATGTCTATGTTGTTGTAGGTATCCAGAGACCAAAATCCCTGCCCTCCTGGGGCTTAAGTATAATGGGGAGAGAGATAAGAAGCGATAGTAAGTTGTATAGTTAAGTCAGAACCTGGTGTTCTGTAAGATAAAATAGCTGGGAAAGCAGGCTTGGGAGTAAAGGAAGAAGGGAGATATAAAGTCTTAAGTGGGAGTCTCACTGGTTTTTGAGCAAAGGTGGAGGAGTAAGCCAAGGGGTGAGGGAGGAAACCCTCTGGATACTTGGGAGAATATCTGACAGGAGGCATGGCCAGTGCAAGGGGCCTGTGGCAGGAGTACACCTGATGGGTTGCAGGGTCCATGAAGAAGTCAGGAGCCTGAGACAGAGTGAGGGGAGGCTGGAAGGAAATGAGGGGAGAGAGAATGGATAGCAGAGGGCAGGTCTCACAGAACCGCAGACCAGTGCAGGGCCTCTGGTGTTGACTCTGAGGGTGTGGCAGCCCCTGGATGTTGGAGCAGATGAATGGCATGGACAGATGGTACCTGCCTTAGCAGGATCACCGTAGCTGCTCTGCTAAAAGCAGACGGAGAGAGGGAGGCAGGGGCGCAGGGCTACTGCTCTAATCCACGTGCAGAAGTCAGGGTCCCAAGTGACACCATGGCACACCCAAGTGGGTTATTTGAACAGTTTAGTCAAGGGACTATTCTAGAACAACAGCCTGGATGTGGGGAGACCGCAAGGGACAGAGCATTTTTTGTTGCTACCCTCGGCTTGAAGGGATGAGGGAGAAAGTTGTCAGAAGGATCCAGAGACAGAGAGTGGTGTCTGGAGAGAGATGCTTGATGTCAGCTGAGCCTTAGATGGGGGGATGTAGCCAGGATAATATGACTCTGCAGGTGCCTGCAGAACACAGATGCTAACCTTCTCTTCTTTCCCTCTCATTTCTTGCCAATGTTTCCCCACTGACCAAACCCAGTGGAATCCGTTGTTGTAGTCCAAGGGGAATCCCTGTTATGTCCAAGCATAGTTGCAATCTGGCCTAGCACTGGTTTTCATAAAGGAAGTTTTATTGAAGCACAGCCATGCACATTCTTCTTCTTCTTCTTAATATCTACAACTGCTTTCACAGCATGACTGCAGCCTGCAAAGTCTTAAACATTTACCACCCAGCCCTTTGCAGACAAGGTTTGTTGACCGCCGATCACCCCCACCAATTTGCCTTCAGGGTAACACGACAGAAGGTGTAGTAGATAGTGGATCAGGTGGGGTGAAGGGAAGCTAGCTAGGGCCTTAGGCTTGAGTTAATGATGGTTGAGATGTGTTTTATGTCCCAATACATGGTCTACTTTGGTAAATGCTTCAAGAGCAATAGAAAAGCATCTTCTATTGTTTGGGGAAGTATTCTATAAATGTCAGCCATAACAAGTTGATTGTTAGCAGAGGAGATACTGAGAAGTAATGGGGTTCTGGAATTATTTTGAAGTTAGACCCCACATGATTACAGATGAGTTGGATCTGTTTGAAGGAAAGTGAGGAGTCCAAGATGCCTCCAAGGATGCTGGCCTGAGGAATGGGATGGCAGACTTATCCCAAATGAGGCTGACCACAAGAGAAAAGAGGTTGATGAAGGATAAAGATAAAGAACCCAACTTGTGATACGTTAAATTGTACATGCTTATTGAACATCCAAGAAGTGCCTTGTAGTTCAGTATACAGATCTGAAGTTCAGGGTGAGCCCTGTATTAGAGAGATAAATTGGGAGTCGTTGGCATATGGATGATATTTGAAGTCTTGAGCCTATCCAAGACCATGAAGGGACTTAACGGTAGGTAGAGGAGAGAACAGATCTAAACAACTGGAAAAACCATAGCCTTGACCAGATGGACCTTTGTTGGCAAAGTAATGTCTCTGCTTTTTAATATGCTATCTAGGTTGGTCATAACTTTCCTTCCAAGGAGTAAGCGTCTTTTAATTTCATGGCTGCAGTCAACATCCGCAGTGATTTTGGAGCCAAAAAATGAAGTCTGACACTGTTTCTACTGTCTCCCCATCTATTTCCCATGAGGTGATGGGACCAGATGCCATGATCTTAGTTTTCTGAATGTTAAGCTTTAAACCAACTTTTTCACTCTCCTCTTTCAATCCCCTAATATCACTAAATTTTTAACCCTACTTTATAGATAACTCAACTATTGTTCAGAGGTCAAGCTAGTCAAGAGTCAAACTACTATGAGTATTCCAATTAGAATCTGAACTTGAACTTGATTCTGAATTTCAGAGCCCATCTGTTGCCCTGTAAGTTTCTTCATTTCACAACTCCAGGAACCTCAGGGTCTGCCACTCCCCAGCCCTCATTTCTTAGGTTCTTCTTAAGTCTCTTTTGGTATTCTTTCTACTCCAATACATACATTCTGTGAGTTCTTGAAGCCGTTGACTGAAGAACTGAGAGTGAAAGGAAGCAGAATTAAAGAAAAGAAATAAGGAGAACAGGAGAAAAATAGAAAGCAAATATTTGTTTGCAATAGAATACTCTCTAACTGATAGTAATAGTGCTCATTTTAATAGTATGACTATTAAGACATCTGTGAAGAGTGGTTCCAAAATGCGTTTACATGGTCATTGTATTAGTGGGTAGTTTCTCAATTAAACTACATGAAAGGTGAAATCAATTTGTGTGTAAATGCATATATATATGTATGCTTATGTATTTATGGGCTTCTCTGATAATTCAGTTGGTAAAGAATCCACCTGCAATGCAGGAGACCCTGGTTCATTTCCTGGGTTGGGAAGATCCACTGGAGCAAGGATAGGTTATATATATATGTGTATATACACCCCGATGTACAAATATATACTCATGCCTTACCCCAAAAGACACTGAAGGATGATGATAATCCCCCATTATACATCAATACATAAAGTCTCTATGGTTGAACTGGTAAGTTTTTAAAGTTATGATATCAGAATCAATTTCAGCAGTGAATAGTTGGGATTTTTTATTTTTTTTTTACTATTTAAGCTGAAAATATGAGATCCCTCAGGTTTCCCAGGTGGTTCAGTGGTAAAGAACCCACTTGCCAAAGCAGGAGACACAGGAGATGTGGGTTCGATCCCTGGGTTGGGAAGATCCCCTGGAGGAGGAAATGGCAACCCACTCCAGTCTTCTTGCCTGGAGAATCCCGTGGACAGAAGAGCCTGGCGGGCTACAGTCCATGGGGTCACAGACTGGACATGACTGCGCACGCAAGCATGTGTTCACACACACACGAGATCCCTCCATGAAACAAGGTGTGAGGCCAAGTACCTAACATAAATGAGATGACAAATCAAGAAAACTGAAGGGCATTCTGTCCAAAAGCCAGAGAACCAACATGATGTCTAATACATGGTTTTGCTGCTGGATACAGCAAAGTAGAAAGACAGTAAGATCTCTAAACAGAACTTGGTCAGTCAGACGCTCATAAGGCTATGATGTGACTCTGAATACAACATCAAACTTCCTCAAAAACACCTGGATAAATATCTAAGTAA